CATCCCCACCAACCCACCCCTACACCCCCACTCACACCCTCCCTTTTACAATGTTATATCAATGTTATATGGGAGCAAATGTTGGGCTGTAAAAGTCCAACACGTCCACAAAATGAGTGTCACATAGCTGCGGATGCTATGATGGATTTACGACCTCACAAGATTAGACAAGCTGGAAAATGAGCACGTTCGCTAGAAAGTGCAAGTAGCTCACATTGGGAATAAAATGAGAGGTCTTGAGATGGTTTAGTTATATCCTACATCGACCTCCAGATGCACTGTTATGTAGGTGTGAGATCATGTAAGTGAAGGTGTAAGATGGAACGAGGTAGATCTAAATCACATGGAAGGAAGTTGTCTCGAAAGATCTACGATCTCTTGGAATCCATGGACTTAGCGAAAGATAGAGCACAATAGAAGAAAAGATCTATATATGCGATAACCATTAGTTGGGAATATGTTTTAGACCTGATAGCACACTACTTCAGGTCCTATGCTTTCTAGGAGTATATATTAGTCCTATTATAGATTATTATGCCCGGATAAAATATAGAGAACTTCTAATGCTTTTATTTTTATTCTTATTTTGTATAATATTACAACAACAACCCAGTAAAATCCCTCTAGTGGGGTTTGGGGAGGGTAGTGTGTACGCAGACCTTACCCCTACCCCAAAGGAGTAGACAGACTGTTTCCGGAAGACCCTCGGCTCAAGAAAACAAAATAACAAAAGGAGACAATATTAGTAATCCACATAAATCGTAAGAAAAATAAGAACAATATGAAATGTAGAAGAAAGATGCAAAGCTAAAGGGAAAGCTAATAAAAAGGTCCTGTAATGAAAAGTGAGATAGTAAGACACAACATTGCCATTAACTAACTATCTTAGACAAAAAACCCTACTAGACTAGTCTTACAAATGTACGAAGTAATGCGTGACTCAAATGCCTCCTAACCTACAACCCTAATACTCGACCTCCACATCTTCCTATCAAGTGTCATGTCCTCAGAAATCTGAAGTCTCGTCATATCCTGCCTAATCACCTCTCCCCAAGATCGATGTAAGTACTTGCACCAAAAGAAAATGCAAAACATATACTTTACAACACAAGATGATCCAAAATATACAAAGTGTTCTTCCTATTGAAATTTCAAAGCAGTTCAAGTGCAGCAGAAAAGAATCGTACTCTTCTCAGATGCTAATGTTTCGCAGATACGTTAAAGACTAATGACAGTAGAGACTAGATGGTATCTGAGGTATCAATGGAAATTGTCTGAAGCCTTTTCAGAGGTAAAATTGGAGATTATTAATAGTATAAATAGGAATAGTCCTGTCTGGTTGACTCGCAAAATCTCGACTCAGAAGGTCTCTCTTTGGAATATACATTCAGATCTCCATTGTCGTCTGAGACCTTAAATAATACTAGGTAAGAGAACAGCAGTAACAAGAGAACTATCTCTTGTTTAGTACCGGACATTTTAAAAGTTGTTCACAATTGACGCTAAAAAGTTAGTCTAATAATGAGATCCAGAAGAACTTCCCAGATACACGGGTTAAGACAGGTAGATCCCTTATCTCCCTTCCTCTTCATTTTAGCCATGGAAGGACTCAGTCAGATGCTCGATAAAGCAAAGCAGCTACAATGGATAGAAGGAAACCCTTCAACAGATTCTATTTCAGTTTCACACCTATTGTATGCAGATGACACAATAATCTTTTGTGGTGCTGAAAGATCTCAGGTACAACACCTCAATCTCACTCTACTCATATTTGAAGCCAGCTCAGGCCTGCATATCAATATGTTAAAGAGTGTACTATTCCCTGTCAATGAAGTCCCTAACTTGGAAGCTCTGGCTGCTATCTTATGCTGAGATGCTGGTGCCTTTCCAACTACTTACTTGGGCCTTCCCTTGGGGGCTAAATACAAATCAGCTGGTGTGTGGAATTGGGTCACTGGAAAGGTGGAAAAAAGACTGTCAACATGGCAGCTAGAATACATTTCAGTGGGTGGCAGACTGACCTTGATAAATAGTGTCTTGGAATAGCATGTCAATCTTTCCCATGCCTAGTAAGGTCCTAAAATCACTGCACAAAGCTAGAAGAACCTTTCTCTGGAAACGTAACTCTGAAGGTCATAAGCTCCACCATGTCAAGTGGTCCAGAGTAATACAGCCAAAATCCCAAGGTGGACGGGGATTCAGAGACCTCACAAAGCACAACAAGAGCATGGTAATGAAATGGCTAGGAAGATTTGGAGATGAAGGCTCTAGCTTATGGAAAGAGGTGGTTGCTGCCAAACATGAGCAACAGTCCCACTGGTGCACTAAACACAACAAAGCACCTCATGGACACATCAGCAGCCTATGGGAGGAATTCTCACAGAACACATCATTCAAGATTGGAAATAGGTTACATGTCAAGTTCTGGAAGGATAAATGGTTGGGCACAAACACCCTGAAGGACAGTTATACATCCTTATATCAAATGGCCAATGCTCCAGACTCAACAATAGCTAAAAACAGATCAGAAGGAAGGAGGTCCAACTTGGGACCTCCTGTTTAGAAGAAACATACAGGACTGGGAACTGGAAAGTCTTTTGGAACTCTATGGAGGACATGGAATCTTCTCCATGAATGAACAAGCATCAGTCAGACTCAAGTAGGGCAACTCTGAATCAGGCTCTTACACTGTGAAGGCAGGCTACAGACACTTCTGCGAGTAGACTGAAATCATTGATTCCTGGCCCTGGAAACTGATTTGGAAGACAAAACTGCCCAAAAAAAGTAATATGCTTCTCATGGACACCACTTAGGCCTTAGGGGAGCCTGTCTCACACAAGATAACCCTCTGTAGGAGGAGTTCTCATGTGGTCTATGCTTTTTTCCATTCTGGTAAGCTGGACCCTACCTCAGGGCATTAAGGAAGCAGTTGAAGGGTGGAACAAGTGGAAAGTTGACAGAGCCATCAGGAAAATCAGGAAGATGATCCCCCCTTGTATCTTTTGGGTTCTTTGGCAAGAAAGGAATCGCAGATGTTTTACTGGAATTTCAACTCCTCCTCCTCCCTTTTTGAAAGCTAAATGTCTAGTGTACCTTTTTAGTTGGAGCAACCTAACCCCTCTAAATAATGTTGCCTCACATCTAGATTTTATCAGTTCACTTATTTTGACTTGGGCCATGCTTTTGTTCTTTTGCTTTTTTGGTTAGCTCCCTGGCTGGAATTGAAACAAATTGTAGTGGAGCTAACATTGACCTCGTTAGTATTTCTGCATCTTCTGGATGCCATCAATGAAACATCTTACCTCATCAAAAAGAAAAACTTCCAGATACCCTTCTCATTCAATGATGAAAATATCAGTGGCAGCCACCTAGTAAAGAACTCAATTTTGTCCACGAAAATCAAAGAGCTCTTCAGGATTCAAAAGTGTCATTTAGTAAAGAGGAGGTGCATTGCAATCTATAACTTCATTTAGATCATATGAAGTCCAAAACTAAGAGTTATGAAACGCTAACTTGACAAAGTCAACCATATTATGGACAACTCACGTCGGTGATGCGGATAGATCTGCTCATTGATGGCTTAAATTGAATTGTTTTCGCCGTAGAAGGTGATCCAATCACAATGCCATTATTTGGACTACCCTAAGAACAACAGAATGAGAATATAATGGTCATCAAATATAGCATAACAAGAATTTTATTAGCTAATCATGCTTCAGGTAAACTCAAAAATGCAGAAAAATATGCACTAAATCTCAGAGTAAAAAACCACAGTAAAATATAGCCATCATGCGCTTTGTAACAACTGCCCACTGCAATTTCTGCTACAGAGATGTATCATTGTGCTTTTACTAGCTTCAGAAATACTCCTATTTCTCCAAAGTTATGTACCACGCTTTCTATTTTAGGATGTCCTAAATATTTATCTCGCCTTTCAAAAGTAATAAATGCATACAAATTTCACGAATCCAAACTCATTTAACAATTCAAATCTAAGTCATGATGTTTCCCACATCGAACTAACTTTTGAATTACTAGTTTAATATTTCCAGTCTTTTGAGGTTTTTGCACACCCCTTAAGAAAAATATTTAATAGCCTTAATCATAAGAGTTTTTGTCTAAACTACCCTTTATTTCTCTTTTAAACTTTTTTCTTTTAAGTGGAACATTATGACCTTCGATTCAGATTAGTAACAACATCAGCTACATAGTCGAGTGAAAGATTAATTTTCTTTCAGTATACTAGTCTCTCCTCTATCCATGTCTCAATCTATTCGCGTGTCACTTTCCATCAATTCTTACTTATCTCAATAAACCCCAATGAAATTTAATTGGTGCTAAAAATTTCAACTAGAAGATTTTATTCTGATAAAGAAATGGATATTGGGTATAATTCAATCTCAAAAACTAGCCCATGAGGTGAAGATTGCCCAAATCATATAAGGAGACCAAGTCCCCCGTCCCTTAGCCGATGTGAGAGACTCAAGACCC